CTTTTCTTTAGAGAATACAGACAGATATCTTATTGCGGTATTGTCTCGTATATGTTACATATTTAGTTTACTTAATTAGTCGGCCTAGTCCCATAGATTGAAAAAAAAAAATAAACATACAATAGAAAACAAGAAATGACGCGTTTAACTTATTTCCATCCAATAGATAGATACATATCCTAGAAAAGTCGTTATAATAAAAATAATGTAAGCAGTTTTAGGTTTTCTGTTACTTTTTGTGCTAAGTATTTCCAGAAACCTTACAAAATAACAACAAGTCATAGTTTGTAAGATAAAAATTCAAAAAAAAAAACAAATTCTAAATGTAAGTCTTGGAAAAATACATTGTTTTACGCCTAATTTAAATGTTTGGTAAATTTTTTTGGTTAAAATTAATTAAGTAGGTAAGTACACTCATTACCAAATTAAAAAAAGTAAAAACTAAATTACCAGGATAAAGGTTGCTGCATTTTGCATCCGTGTCTAATTTCATTATCCCTTTTTAAACACTAAAAATACTACAGGTATTTCAATACAAATATCACAATATTTATTTGAGATCAATTGCACCACACTTTTTACACTGCACTGTATCACTGCACTTTGTTAATTATTAATTGTATAGTATTTATTATTTAATTCCACAGTTATAGCACCTTTGGTCATCTACTGATCATGACTTTCTGAAGTCCGAGTAAGAAAGTGATGTATCAGCGGCAAGAGGCGCGCGCTTACTGACGAACAATGTATACAACTTGCTTACTGAAAGTTTGGACGTCTGGCCCTCTACCGAAATCGCTCCGAGTCATGGTGACTCTGCATAAACCCATATCGCATTTTCAATAACCCCGAATACAAAAACTCAAAGTCATTGCATACACATTTTTGATGCCATCTGGGACATCGTTATCTCAATATTTATTATTCAGTTTAAATTAATGCATACACAGCAACCCTGTCAATTTGCTAATGTTTTTATTAAAATAATCTACAATCTTAGATCCTTGAGTGATTTTGTAAGTACGTCACGTCGCAATGACGTTCACGCTACGCAGTTAGAGCCGCGTGAACGTCACGCGAACGCGACGAGTACGCGTGAGTCGTGTGCGCAGCGCAGTTTTAACACATTGAAGAATTTCAGAATAGAGCTGCGCTAGCATATCAAAGCTAAAAATTATATTTATAACTAAGCTTCTTTCTTTTTTACACGATTGTGCCACATAATGACTGTATTACTTATTTGTTGTACAACACAGCACAATCTAACTATTGTTAAGTTATCTTTCTTATTCTTATTCGTTCATCGTGTTAATGGCACGCATACGTGGTCAGTTTTCTTTTCAGCTTGACCGATTTGGATTGCATATACTTTCCTAGAAATATCTTTCCTTTTTCACAGGCTCCCTGTGTTACGGGACTTTTCTATTAAAGTAGTCTGTGATCTGTGAGTATGCTTTAATAGATCTACCATTGTGTAGGTGATCGGCTTCTGCATCTTTTACTGTCAACATGATCCAGCACCATCCGTTTTTCAATGAAGTTCTCTTTTTGGGCTATGATGGCCAAGCCAAGGTGTCTGTTTCGGAGCGTTTCTCGAAGTTCTTAAACATAAGTATAGATATAAGAACCTCAGGATCACCAGGTGGCAAATAATGAGCGCTGCCCGCAATATCGGAGAAGTTACAAGTGGGTTGCAGGCTTTTTAAAGATCAATAGGTTGCGGTCACCGGTGTCCATGCGGTGTTTGACAGTCATCTTTTTCTTGGAAGTTTGAAAGTGTTATCGATGTAGAAATACCTTCCACCGTTTTATTTTGTCCGGTTGTGGACTGTGGACGATCAAAGTTAATGATGGGGATGGAAATGCTGACGTGTGAGACGATGGCGAAAAGATACAGCGGAAAGCAGTTTATAGAATTTTTAATGTATTGCAGTTATACATTTAATTATAATACGTATTGATTATGAACTGCTGGGTTTATACGTCTATGTACTTAGATAAAAACACCAACGCATTGTTGATGATAGCCTTCGTGTGTTGGCGATATCATAGATTTTTCTCTTTGATTAGGTATAATAAATTAAAATTATCCTTACAATGTCTTCTGCGCCCGATGATCATAATATCATGATTATGAGATCATGTATTTCGAAAGAACGTCCGATAGATTTCGGACCCGAACGGAGCCTCAACTCTGAGGTCATGTCAATCTTTAGATTCTAGTTACTTTAAAATTCAATCTAAATGGGAGTTCTTTATGATCGTAAGCAAAATCAATTTGCGCGGTAGTTAACTATGTGAGGTCGTTCAATGACTGTTGATTTTAGTAAATGCTAGAGTAAATTCTGCTTAGGTGTATTAAGCGATAAGCTTGCGGTTCGAGTCGTGCAAACAGGCTTGTCCTTGACCATTGGTCTATTAGTAAACACAAACTTCACCAAAACGTGCGAAGCGCAATCTACGACACTGATCCCTTTATTGACTAATCCTAAAATATAATAAACATTACTCGGTACAACACATGCTTCAGGTAATCTATGTTTCTGTCTCTTTTTTACATTAAATAAACAACTGCGCGAATGAGATAGAAATAGAGAGTAGTAGATAGGAAAAGTAACGACTTTATATTATATTTATCAGAGGAAAAAAGTGAGAAAGTAGGGGATTTTTATAATGACGTAGGGGCTTCCGTTAGAGATGCCATATGGAAACTAATGGGAATATCTTGAAATTATCCATTTTGGGTCACGCAATCGGGTAAGAAAATATGTCACTGCCTAAATAGTTATTAAAATTGGAAACAAAAATTAGGACTTCGACCACATACAATGTCATGTATGTGTACGTGCGTATAAACAAAAACATATTTGTACATAGTTGTATTATTACATAACACCAAAATTCAAAGCTATTTACAACCATTAATAAGAATTAAACATTGAACATTTTATTATCCAACAATGACTTTGCAGAATACTAAGATTTTTTTAACAAAAAAAGAAGTTAAAACCTCATTAGTATGTATATCTTATCATTATTATAATTTGCTTGAAACACCTTTAAGCTTAGTTTCAACACAGTAACTAGTGTATACTTTTACAATATGAAATAGGTAATTCACATAAATTATTTCCAATTGGTCCTCTTATCAATAATTTGAAACATTTTATTATGAATTGCTGTAATCATTTTATACCAAAAAGTTAGATGGTGAAAGATAATTATGCAAATATACACAATATTAATTTATTGTTCAAAGGTGGTGAAATTCAGAAGCACACATTAAAAAGTGAGTAAAATTTTCACCAAATACTGTATACAGATTATTATATTTATTCATTTGTATGACAACCATTTAGTACTGTTTTATTTAAGTGGGTAGTAGGTATGTAGGCGAAAAGCAGGGGGTAGTTTTGCTGGCACCATCTATGCTAATTTGAATTACAATCATGCATAGGTTTGGGAAAGTAATTGTAAATGCAATGAATAAGACAACAACAAAAACTTCTAGAAAATTCTAAAGAATTATTACTTCAATAACTTTCTAAATTGAATGGTTAGAAAAAATACTTATTGTTGGTTTTAAGATGTCACTTCTTTTTTTAAACTGTCAAACACCAAGCGGTCACCGGTGACCGCAACCTATTGTTCTATAATTGTGTCTATAATGATGGTACTCGACGAGTTAATAGTTAGTAATTTAGGAAGTACCATCCATATGTTTTAGGTGGGTGTTTTAGTGTTCAAATATTACAAAATTATGGAAAAGACAATATTTATTCAGGATGTTTATTTATTTATTTAAATAATCAATATCCAACATGTAGATTTTATTCAAACACACATTTTGGACAATTTACAGGCTGGACTGATAACAGAACATCATTAGGAATTAGTCAATATGGAATAGGAATTTGGTATTACAAGTGGTGGAGTCTCTATCCTAATCAGGGTTTCTCTAGAATCTGTAAACTTACACAGAAAAGCATAACTTAATTTATTGGGAACTTTAAATGACAATTAAATAAAGTGACTTGCAATTTAAGTAGACATTGACTAAGTTATTTTGATCGAAATGTATTGATGATTTCATTTACCCTGCAAAATGCCTCCTGACCTCTTTCCAAGACTTTAAATCACAAACTTAAAAAAAGTGATAAGAGTGAAGTTATGATAGTAATCATTTACATTAATATTTTAAATATTGTATTCTTTACAGATGGGTACTTATCAAAAACATGTACTTGTCATTTTCATGAAAATAAACTTGTACTTTCCACATGTACGGGTTTAGTTGAGAACTTTTCCCTGGATAGATATATTTAACCAAAAAGTTTTGATTCCAATATTATGAGAGAAATATATGGTAATCGACACAAAAATAATGGAAATAATATTTTTGTAAATGTAACATGATCATTGATTCTTACCTGATGTATATATAATTCTTTTTGTGGTGTCAGTAAAAGATTAAATGCACTTGTAACTTATGAGGGGCCTCAGTACATGCAGTTCAACAAAATACACTACAAGTTATAAAATTCATAATAAAAATGTAAAATTCACTTGATTAAATTCTTATACACAAATATACGTCACAAAATCACTGAATTATGTATCCGGTTCTTGGAATGTCTCAATTGTATTAGTTTAATATTATATTAATGTAAGAAATAGAATTTAATGTATATTGACTAAAAAATAATTTTGCAATTTGCTCCTTGATTGACAAACGAATGACATTGACATTACTCTGGGTTACCAATCTATAAAATATTTACCAGTAATAGACTGGGTATTTCAAGTTCAGTGGTTAGTGGTTTATTATTAGTTTCATGGGAATCATGGGCATGGCATCTCCAAGCATCACTGAGAAATAAATTCTGTGTTTGGCAAAATAAATTTACAAAACTAATTTTGGTCAGGATTTATCAATACCTTATAATTTACACGAAAGGAATGTAAATTATTTGAATAATAATTATGTGAAGATTTTATATTACACGTATACATTGTTATTTATGCATGTAATGCTTGTAATATAAAAATCTTCAAAAATTAGATACATAACACGCAAATGCAATTAGACATAATATGCAAGCACTATATTACATTTACGACATCATTTATGAATGAAGAATGAAGTAAGTGAAGTTATGAACGCATTAATTTTGAATTATTTCGTTATTCTTATTAAGTTTTGAAATTTCCTTTATTCATTATTTTTTTTCATTGATTAAATAAAAACATTTTATTTCTAGTTTATTAGATAGTACCTAAAACTGGGGTAAATTCTGAGAATGGCAAGGATACTCACTTTCTAGAGTTGTCCATCGTGATCGGTGATCATGGCAGATATCGATAAAGTAAAATTTGTTCATTTAGTAATTTTTTATTATTGGATTGGGCATTTAATTTTATGAATACAATGAAAATATTCTTTATGCCTAACTTTACTGCAAGGATGTTAACATTTTAGAACTTATACACTAGTAATTGTGTGGTAATGATATTATTGATACTAAAATAGCATAAAGCTGTATCCTTGTCACCTCACTCCATTCAAGTCCAGTTAAAAAAAAATCTACAAAATCGACAATGGCAGACGCAAAGCAAGGTAAGATTTAGCATTTTTCTTAGTTTTTTCATAATTTTTCCTACTCTGTTATGTGGTTTTGGTATATTTCACTTCATTACTGTAGCCCAAACATTTAGGAAATTAATAATTGATTCGTGAAGTGGTTTATTTAACTTTGTCCATGCTGCATCATCAACGAATTCTTTTTGTTATTTCACACATTTTTTTTCATATCTTCAGAGAAATTTAAGATTATTAGCATTTTCTGTACATTCTCCCTGTCGAATTGGATAATTTTTCTTTGAAATAGAATTATAGAATGTTGGTTCAATTCTTGGTATTATTCACCATACTGCTCGTTTACGAGAAGTACTTGTCGACTTTTTTACAAAACGAGACATGCAGTTGGACAGTGGGACCATTATAAACTTTTGCTTGTCTCATATTACTAAATATTACATTAGTTAGTCTTAGGCATATCAAATTGTAATAATATCAATGACCTTTTATCATTTTGTATAATGAAGCACGTCATAATGCAAAGTGTTTACAGTTAAACTGTAGTAATCCATAAAAATATTGTTATAAACGTCAGACTAAATCAGTTTCATATAAGATTTAAACTGGGATTGTATTTAACCCTATAAATAGTGACTCATTCATAGGTCAGCTGTGGCTTTTTGTAAGTTGTTTAAAAGTTATGTTGTTTTAGGTAAATCACCAATTGAAGACTTCTACAATGGGCCATCACAAGCTAGAGTGGTTCTGGCAAAGCCTAGACTTGGTGGTTTTGGTTCGTCCAACTCAGCATCAAGTTCTAATAAACCATGTAATAATCCATTTGGTAAGAAAGTCATATTCATCTATTATTCACTATTCTAATTATTCATATTCCTTATGTTCTACAATGCACAAATAAATAAGGTACCTATAAAAGTAATAATTTTTGTATTCAGGTTCCATTTTGCGCCCCTCTCAGCTGAAACCTGGTAACAATCCATTTTTGAAAGTTAATGAAGCAACTGAAGATACTCCTGAGGCTACTAAAGAACCAGAGGAAACTTCGGATGAAGAGGGATTAGAGGAAACCAAACAAGAACCCGAACCACCTAAGTTTGTGCCACTGGGTTCTGCAAATGTTACTCCACGGACCAACACAGCTGCACCCCCAGCAGTACAACCTGCTCCAAGTTCTTCAGGATTTGTATTTGGTCAAAATTTAAGTGAGAGAGTTGAATTGAAGGAAAACATCAACAATGGTGAGGCTTCAACCACAGATCACAGCTCCTCCAATGGTGCAACAGAGTTATTGTTTACCAGTGCTGCAGCATCTGTCAAGGAAAATCAGGTTCGTGTTGGGTATACCTTTAGAAGGCTTTAGCGAATGTTGGTAATGCTGCTATTATAATTATCTGTTTCATGCATTAGTTACTGTTATTTCACCTTTTATTTGCTGGCTTGATAGTATTAATTTATTTTTATATTAAACTGTCAAACACCAAGCGGTCACCGGTGACCGCAACCTATTGTTCTATAATTGTGTCTACAAAACCGGTAGTTGATGAGTTAAAGTGGTGTGCCAGATTGTAGATCTACACAAGACACAATGTATTTTCTATCGTGTCTCATATACTGACACTCGAGAGGTTATACAAATCAATGAAAATAAAACTGACCTGTGATATTAACAAATTATATATTATGACTAGATACAATAATAAAATACATAACAT